ATAAACATTCGATTGATTTGCTTAGCTTTCCAAACGTTTTCTGTAGATGTTACAAGGCGCAAAAAATGGAATTTTTTAAAGCCTTAAATGGGGGGTACTACAACAGAGATTGAAAAACACTGTTATGCACAATATTCATACACCATCAAAGCATTTATTATGCATATTAAAATTTTCTTTTATTTAAAATCAGTATTTCAAATTGTTTTTCTTTGGTTTTTCTAAAAACAAAAATTAGTAAAACAAAAAACTATTTATATTTAAGGATTGGTTTTAAGATCAATTATCTTATTTATGATAATGATAAAAAATTGCATATAAAGGTTTTAACTACAGTAATAGTGACGTTAAATATTAGATCGGCTAGGTTTTTATACATTCAAATCAATACATTCCCCTCAATTAGACTTCCTCGAATACTAAACTTACAATTGACAAAGGCATATATAGATCTTAAATTATTATACAATACCATTATAACGAGGTTTTTTTTCGAACAGTAGTGAAATACAACAACAAAAATTTATTTTTTATATTATTTTAATTAATTGAATTTTTGGCTGACCATACATAATATTATAACTGTATAAAAACGGAGTCAAAATGATTCCTTTGTCGCGAATGCTGGGTCGGGATCTCATGACATGTACCTACAGCTGCAAATTGACATTATGCATAGTTTTTATTACTCACTCAGCACATATCGAGCGTACTTTTTAAATGTAAGGGTGGTCTTTTTATTTTAAACACCAGAGAATTTAATATATCTGAACGTGATTGTTCTTTGTGTAATCGTCATGAAATAGAAAATATATGCCATATTATTAGAATATGTCCGATTTTCAGAGAATATAGACAGCTCTTTTTTTAATAAAGCACTTCCGTCCGAAGAAGAAGTACAAATTTATGAAAAATGTGGTAAGTTACAGAAGATTAATTATTGAAGAATTTACATGTATGAATAATAAAGTTAATAATATGCACAAATTTTTGTATGCCAATTTGACACACAACAAATATGTTATTGTCAATTTAGATTTTCAGTAAAATTCTAGAGTTTTTGTAAGTGCTGTCTGAATTTCCTTGAATAAATAATAAATAAATCAAATATTAGGTTTTAAAATCAATTATTTTATTTATTCATTTTAAGACTCAATGGATAAAAAATTTCATATTTAGGCTTTAACTACAGTAATCGCGAGGTTAAATGTTGAACATTTTGTTTCTAAGTACATTTCATGAAAGTAAGTGACATCGCAAAATGTTTAATTAGTGGAAGTCTTAGACTTCGAATATGCTTTCACATTTCATTAACCTCGATTCCTTGTTACCAATAACAAACTGTGGTATATGGAAGAGCAACAAAATAATTAATTGATTGATTGCTTACAATTTACAATTAAATTAATCAATTGAGAGGAAATTCTAGTAACATTAAAAACATGAGGCATTACTTCGCCAATTTAACATGAAACGCCTGCTGCCTTTGTGCGATAATAGATTGCAAAATGCCTGTACCTACAGCAATAAACCGAGTACTAATGCAGTTGGCCAAGAGAAGATGAAAAAATGTGAGAAGAAGGAATTGCAGATAGAATAACAAGTCTTCAAAGCAAAGGCAACATATTCTTTTGTACCTACTTTAAACCACAAAACATCATTCAAGCATCAAAATCAGCAACAACAAATGCTGAACATGCTCAACCACATGAAACGCATACGCCAGAAAAGATTTTTGCAAAAATTGTTGCAAGTTGGAAGCAGCGGTTGCAGATTTGCTACCGACAACCACGATAACAGCAGAAAGAATTGCCAGCCAATGCTGCTATTGTGTTACTACATTGTTGTAAATGCTATATTGGCTTCAGTGCACTTCAAAAGAATATCTTCAAAAGCAAACATAATGCAAAAGAAGGAAGAACTGCACCACAGCAGCAAAAAACAAAGGAAAAATGAAAAAACTAAAAAAACAGTCGAGAAGCAGTATCTAAAATTTTGCTTAATAAAGGTAATGCTGGAAATCTTATTGCCATTACCGTCCTGACCATAAGTCACTACCACTTGACAACATTAACAAAGGCAATAACGATAACAACTACAACATCAGCAGTATCAGCAACATCAGCCAACAACAATAAGCCAAGGCATTACAACAGCAGCCGAACAAATTTGGTGTTGCAGCAATAAAGATGCTATAGATGGTTTCTCCCCGATAGATGCAGAGGCTCTTATTATTTTTGCATCGTAGTATCTTGTTAGCTGAATATGCCATCGTTCTGAGGGATCGCTATATTTTCTATTTCTATTCTTTGCTTGAGTCGTTAGCCGGTGATTTATGTACATAATTGACCGCGTTATAGAAAAACTGCACATTTTGCAAAAATTCGTTGCGGCATTTATTTTTATTTTCTATGAAGAATTCCTCTTTGTAGGCAGTTAAGTAGAAAATCGCCGAGAATTCTTTGCCATAAAAAATTGCGAGTGGCTGCGCATAAATGTGCTAATGGCTGCGTTAATACTGCAAATAATTGCGTAGAACTGCAACTGCAACTGCAACTGCACAAATTTGCTACACGATAAGTTTTATATCGGCGGAAGCCAAGAAGCACTTAAGTTTGTTAATTAATTGAAAGTATAATTGTCAGGTGGTTGGGAATGATGCAGGATATATTTAATTTTTGATCATAAAATGAGTTACTCACAAATGTTTAATTCGTGAAATTGAGAACATCAAAATATTTACATAACCAATTTTAGAAGAAATTTATCAAGCAAAATCAATAAAGTTGCAAGCAAAATAGACAATGAAGAAAAAGGAGACAGAATTAATAGAAACTATTGGAATTTAAAACAAATATTATTTATAGAGATTGTTAAGAAGAAAAAGTGATAGAAATAACTGAAAATGGACCCAAGAGAAAGAAGAAGAAGACAATAGAGAATTTTAAACGTATATTTATAGTATATATGACTTCCTATATATATTGTTATATTAACATAGTTAACATCCGAGGCCTTTTGAATTGTCCCCCTGCGCTTGGTTTCATTAACGGCAGAATCATGCTATATTATTCGAACGCATGATTGCTGCCAAACGGGGTATAAACTTATTTTTCTGGAAAATTTTGGTATAGTTGGGCTATCGCAGAGTAACATAATCATATAAAATGAAAACTTTGTTTTAATATTATTATTAACCTATATATATTTATATAATAATTTGAAATGACAGCTAAATTTACAACCAAAACTCTCGTGTGAATCCAGTATAAGAAAGAAACTTAGAAAATGTCAGCTAGATATAAAATATAAAACATAAAAATTAAAAGTAAGAACTTAGGTATAAGTCAAAAACATAAATAATCAGACCATGAACAGAGTTCAAAATATATGGTAGATTAATAAAGTGAGAACAAGAATCTATATCTCTGTCGTAAAAATGAGAAAATTGTCCCCACGATTTCGTACAAGACCAGACCGCTATGGATTACTTTAACTACACAACAAGAATTACGTTTGGGATAATATTCTCCGATTATCTATTTCTCTTATATATTATTATTTTTTAATGTCTACTTAATTATCAATATGGATTAGTTAAAGAGTAGTTCAAACTCATGTATAACTAAATAACTAATCTTGCTTGCAGAAATAAATGTGAAAAATTGAAATCTTATACATAAACTTCATAGCCAAAATCTAGTCATTGTATACTAAGGACTGGTCTTAGATTACACTGGTCAACAAAGATTTTATCCTAGAGACGTTGTTAAGAGATCCTAGACGTGTTTTTCGTGCTGATTCCGAATCTGTATTTAGATTCTTTCTATCACGTCTAGATTCTTCAAAACAGTTGAATGTATATTTTTGCTATAAAGTCGTAATTTACCTACTGCTCAAAAAGTATCCGGATTTTGTTGTTTGTTAACTACTTTTTAAGTAATAGACCTTTTTCAAAAATTTTTTGTTATGTTTTGTTTTTTTTGTTATGTTGGTAGACCCTTTCTTGACATATGATACAAATTTCAGCGCCATCTGACAATTAGTTTGTTTACAGCAGCTGTTAATGTGAGACTACCTCAAGTGCATTTAGCGATTTTTACTATGGAAAATTCTTGTTGTACGCGATTTTTTGACCAAACACGGCACCACTGTCATCGCTCAGGCACCATATTCGCCAGATCTGGATCCGTGCGAGTTTTTTCTGTTCCCGAAACTCAAATTGCCCCTTCGTGGTAAGCGTTTTGAGTCGATTGAATCGGTAAAAGAAAATTCGCCGAAGGAACTAAAAGCCATACCTTCACGGGCCTTTGAAAAGTGTATGAAAGATTGGGTTAAGCGTTGGGTATTTCATTTATATATGATATATATAGTATACATTATTTTCGTGATGTAAATATATGTATATAAATAACGTGGTTAATAAATATGTATAAATAATATTACGAATTAATAAATCTGATGGACTTCATCTTATAACGCAAGACGATTTAAACGATCTGGTGCGCGATTTAAAGTTGTGCAAAAAGAAGAGTGAAATCTTAGGATCACGATTAAAGGGTTGGAAATTGTTGGATCCAAAAACTAAAATTTCTATGTATCGATCTCGCCATGACGAATTTAAATTATTCTTTTCTCAAGAAAGGGTTCGTGTTCTCAATGAACAGGGTATGGTCATGCGCAAAACATCAGCCTATGCCTTACCAAGACCATGGTGCGTGGTACTTTATCACACCCTTCTCGAGGTGAACCTGTTTGTAGTTGATAACTTCATTGACTCAACAGAACACTATGGATCTAGAGAGGAAAACTCGATAAAACCCGTAATCTCCGGTGTTATTCGACCCGTGCCGATGAGATGAATGGCACTACGTTAGTGTGTCTCTAAACGGAGACCTCCGGATATCTGGCGCCCTCCGGTTGTAACTTAGCCTTGTCCGGGTATAGCGGATCTCTGCCCGGATCGACTTTCCTTTCTCCGCAACTCGTGGGTTTAAAATATGAACCAAAATAATAAAAATTTAAAAAAATCAAGCTCGGTTAAACCAAGCTCTTCTGGAACGACTAGTTCCAAGGTACCTACCGCAACTTCTAGCGGTAATAACAGGGTACCTCCTAACAAACCAGAAATCTCCACGCGTTCTGGCCCCTCCGCATGGTCGGGCTCTCCATCCAGGAGAATTTATAAAGAACGGCGAGGGGCGACTAGGCTGCTCGAGAGATATGGCAATGTCTCGGTTACGTCCGAGTCTCTTAAGGCTAGATTAGCCTGGGCCAAACGGGTCCTTGATACTTCTAAGGAAGTCAAAAAGGAACCTGTACCGAAGCGCCAGCGCTCATTAGATGAGTCAGCTTCGAAGCCAGATGCCAAAAAGGCAAAATTGCGTGGCAACGCCACCACCACTAAGTCCTTTAGCGACACGCTGAAGGGCTCCATCATAATGGCGGTCATTGATGAAAATGATCCAGATGGCACTATTAATCCTGAAAAATGGGATCAAATTGAGCGAAAGCTCCTTGACTTGTTCGTCGAAGTTCTTAAGGAATTTCCAGGTACAATTCCCAAATGTCGCGACGGTGGATGGTTTCAGGGCCATGTGAAACTAGTCGCCTGCGTTGATCAGCGTTCTGTTGATCTCTTTCGCATTGCCATCTCCAGAATGGGTGAGGTCTGGCCAGGCGCAAAGCTTAAAGTCGTTGCCAAGGAACAAATTCCTGGCCGACCTAGGGCGCGTTCCTGGATTCCAGCCGAACCATCCGACCCTCAGCGGATTCTGGAGCTAATTCGGGTGGGAAACCCTGATCTAAATACGTCCACGTGGAAGGTCACTAAGCTGAAAGAAGCCAAAGGCAAGTTTAGGTCGGTCAGTTTTGTGATCGACAAAGCCTCTCTGGCCATTTTGGCGCGATCTGGTGGCGTATTAAATTACGGTTTTTTCCCCATAACTATGAGGGTCTACAAAAAAGATGAGGAGCAATCCTCGTCTGATGTACGGGAATCAGCGGCAATTTCTCAACACACTGCTGATCCCTTATCGAAGTGGGCAATATTAAGCCTGCTTCCATGACCGAAGTGAGTCCGGTTATTCCATCTGAAGACTCACCTGTGTGCATGGACATTTCAGTGTCTGCTCCTTCGCCAGCTCACTCAATTACATCAGAGGAGAGCATAGGCATGCGCTATCTTTTCGATGAAGAGGAACTCCTAATGAGTAATGACTCTGAGGAGGATAGTGCTCTTGATGTCACTGTGGTGGAAAAAAATGGATCCACACATACTGAAGATGCGGGTACAGCAAATTAACCTGCATCATAGCAAGGCTGCATCCGCCAGTCTACTGCAACGCCTCAGCAACAACGAGGCTGATATGGTCCTGATACAAGAACCATGGATTTATAAGGATCTTGTATGCGGAATCAGGGCTAATAACTACAACCTATTTTATGCGGTAAATAAGGGTAAACATAGGTCCTGCATAGTGGTTAATAAAAAATTTAATGCTCTCTTACTTTCGCAATATAGTGATGGTGAGGAGTGGAGGGCTCCGGGGGCAAATATGGGCAGTATCTGCTTATCTGGCACATGACCATGCCACACTACCATCGAATGACCTGATACAGCTAACAAGCAGCGCCAGGAGACTCGGGGTAGAGCTTCTAATAGGTTGCGATGCCAACGCTCATCATGAGGTTTGGGGCAGCTCAAATACTAATGAAAGAGGTGAGTTACTTTTTGATTTTGTATTTAGTAACAATCTGTTCATCTGCAATGATGGCAATATGCCAACTTTTATTACAAAAAACAGGCAGGAAGTGTTAGATGTCACTCTTGCTACTGCTAGGCTTCACGAATCGGTCAAGAACTGGAAAGTGTCCACTCAACACTCGTTCTCAGACCATATGATTCTAGAATTCACCTTAACCTTAGATGAATCGAACATCTGCAATCAAAAAACGTTCAGAAATGTTAAAAACACAAACTGGACGAATTATAATGCAGCTCTAAGTGAGCTGCTTTTAACCACTTCCTCCGATCCCCCTGGGAACACTTTTGATCTAGACAATCAAGTCCAAGATCTCACCTCAGTGCTCAACGAAGCGTTCAGTTATGCTTGTCCCCTCACACAACCTAGTAGGAAATGTAACCCACCTTGGTGGAATAAGCATCTAGGTCTTTTACGAAAGGAGTGTAGGAGACTCTTCAACAAAGCAAAACTATATATAGTAATGAGAGTGATTGGCTGAATTACAAAACCTCTCTGCAAGAATATAAGAAAAATGTACGTAGGTCCAAGAGAGACACTTGGCAATCGTACTGTCAAGAAATAAATAGCAATTCTGAAACCTCTAGACTGCGTAAAATCTTATCCAAAAATCCATCTGTCCCAGAGTTACTCAAAAAATCTGACGGGACATGGTGCAATAATAGTAGCGAATCTTTACAATTACTACTAGATACTCACTTTCCGGGATCTTCTACTTCGGTAGCTGGATCCTCAGAGTGCCTTAATCTCTCACCGGTTAACTCTATTAAGGTTAACCTGCAGATCGTCAAATGGGCTATTTTTAGTTTTAAACCCTACAAATCACCAGGACCGGATGGTATTCATCCAATTGAGCTCCAGAATTCGTGGGAGTTAATACACAACCGGCTTTTGGCAATTTTTAGACATTGTTTCTTATTTAACTATGTCCCGATTAAATGGAGGGAGGTTAGAGTAGTTTTTATACCCAAAGCAATAAAAACCTCGCACCATAACCCCAATGAACTCCGTCCTATAAGCCTCTCCTCTTTCATGTTGAAGGCTCTTGAAAGAATAATAGACGTAGAAGTAAGGCGTGCTGTAAGCCCCAACCAGTGGTCCCCCTCACAGCATGCCTACACTAAGGGAAAATCTACAGAGACAGCTCTCCACTCCCTCACTTACAGAATAGAAAAATCCATAAAACTCAAAGAATTTTGTATGGTTGCTTTTGTAGATATTGAAGGGGCCTTTAACAATATACTCCCGAGTGCAATAGTAAGCGCGATCTCGCGTCTGGGTGTTGCTGATGCGCTCATTGGCTTTATAAATCAGCTGCTAACTGGCAGACTCATTGAAGCAACGATGGGCTCATCAACGGCACGCAGAAGGGTAAATAGAGGTACCCCCCAAGGAGGAGTACTCTTCCCTCTCCTTTGGAACATAGTGGTGAATGAACTGCTAATACAACTGAAGGCGGAGGGATGCGAAACTATTGCATATGCGGATGATATTGCGATAACAGTCACCGGAAAATATACTACCACTCTTAGGGATATTCTACAAAATGGTCTTAATATCCTAAACAATTGGACACAAAAATGTGGCCTTGGGGTGAATCCCAATAAAACTGAAATCGTAGTTTTCACAAGAAAACATACGGTCCCGAATCTCTCTCCACCCTCTCTACGGGGTTCTGTGATACATGTGAAGGAGGAAGCCAAATTTTTAGGTATAGTTTTCGACAGGAAACTCACTTGGAAGAAAAACACTCTAGAGCGTGCAAGAAAAGCCAATGTTGCGCTTCTTCTATGTCAGAAAGCTATTGGTAAGAAGTGGGGTCTTCAACCTCGTATCACCCAATGGCTATATATAGCTGTTATTAGGCCCATATTGATGTATGGTATTTCGGTATGGTGGACAGCTCTTGATAAATCTTCGTACTGCTCAGTAATTAACAGGATTCAGCGTAGAGCTGAACTCTGTATTAGCGGGGCGCTATGCACCACACCATCCATTGCACTAGATTTGATGCTTCAGTTACTGCCAATGGATATTATTAGTAAACAAATGGCAGCTTCATCTGCTTTAAGACTAAAAGCTACCTCACAATGGAGAGACAGTGACTATGGTCATGCCTCCATTCTAAATCTTTTCAATTTTACTCCCAAAAACGTTGATTACATCACACCCACTCTCAACTTTGACAGAAAATTTGATGTCGTGTTTCCATCTAGAGAGGTATGGACGTCAGGTGGTCCCTTCTTAGATGAGGGCGTAACCATCTTCACTGACGGATCCAAAACAAGTAGTGGTGTAGGTAGTGGAGTTTTCTCAGAGGAATTGAACAAATCTTCCTTCTTTAGGCTTCCAGATCATTGTAGTGTCTTTCAGGCGGAAGTGGTCGCCATCAGGGAAGCTATAGCTTGTTTGAATGTAGATGATATATTTGGCAGGAATATATACATACTATCAGACAGTCAAGCTGCATTAAAGTCCTTGAGTTCGGTCCAATTTACATCTAGGACGGTTCTTGACTGCTACACATCTCTAAACGAAATGTCGACGCAGCTCAATATTTCTCTAATCTGGGTTCCCGGCCATAGGGATATTTTCGGAAATTGCAAAGCAGACGAGTTAGCCAGAAAGGGTGCTTCAGAACCATACTCGGAGCACCTAGACTATTTGGGCATATCGCTAACATCATGTAAACTGATATTGAGTTCCTTCTGCGCTAATACTTTTAATAAAAGATGGGAAGACTCAACGATATGTAGACATCTGTATGCAATCTGGCCACTTTCCGATAAAAGGAAATCGAAAACTCTCATTGAGATGTCCCGCAAGGACATTGGTCTTCTGGTAGGGTTGATTACAGGGCACTGTAAGCTAGGGAACCATGCTAGAAGACTAGGTCTTCCTTTCAACCAAATCTGTCGTAGCTGTGGGGAGGACGATGAGAGCGCATCTCACCTGTTGTGTTTTTGTCCAGCTCTTGCACGTCAGCGATTTAGTACTCTAGGGGCCCCCTTCCTTGAGGAACTGGACCAGTTACAGGATCGGGCTTTAAATAGCATTTTATGCTTCGCAAAAGGTTCTAGGTGGTTTTAAACCCTGAGGTTTCTTTTACTTTCTTTTAGTATTTATATACGGCATCACAATGGGCCAATAGGCCTAAGTGGATCCACTAGGGATCACCGGTATAACCTAACCTAACCTTTCTCAAGAAAACAACCTTATTCTTTGCAATGATGTTCTATCTGTTATGGATACTCTTAATTTTGAATACAACGATGATGATTGGCGTTTGTTCATTGATACTTCTAAGGTCAGTTTAAAGGCTGTTCTCTTACATAATGGAAATGAAATTCCCTCAATACCGTTAGCCCATGGAACTGATATGAAAGAAACTTACGAGAATATGCAGTTTCTCTTAAAAAAAATTCAATACGGAAGATATAAGTGGAAAATTTGTGGTGACCTAAAAGTTATTGCAATTTTACTAGGCTTACAACTTGGTTACACGAAATATTGTTGCTTCATCTGCGAGTGGGATAACAGAGACAGAAAATTGCATTACTTGAAAAAAGATTGGCCACAACGTAAAGCACTCGTTCCTGGAATCAAAAATGTCCTCTTCCAGCCTTTGGTCGATCCTAAAAATATTCTTTTACCACCTCTGCACATTAAATTAGGACTTTTTAAAAATTTTGTTAAAGCCATGGATAAAAATGGTGGTGGTTTTACTTATTTGAAGCAAAAATTTCCTAAAATAAGTGAGGCAAAGATTAAGGAAGGTATTTTTATTGGGCCACAGATCAGAGAACTGCTGAAGGACTCGGAATTTCAACAGCAATTGAGTTCAACAGAAATTAACGCGTGGAACTCATTCAAAAATGTAGTTGAGCATTTTTTAGGAAATATGTTAGCTGAAAATTATCGCGATCTGGTGGCTAATCTAATTGATTCATACCAAAAAATGGGCTGCAATATGTCTTTAAAACTTCACTTCCTACACTCTCACCTGGAATTTTTTTCCACCAAATCTTGGCGCCGTTAGTGATGAACATGGTGAGCGTTTTCACCAGGATATTTTACACATGGAAAAACGCCACAAAGGAAATTTCACTAACATGTTAGCAGATTACTGCTGGACACTAAAAAGGGACTTACCAGATGCTCAATATGCGAGAAAAACATAAGTAAGTACCATTTTTTAAATTCACGATTTATTTGCTGAAACCCCTTGAATCACCCGTTAATCTGGTTGTATAAAGAAAACTAGACGTGATAGTAAAAATCTAAGTCCAGATTTGGAATCAGCA